AATCACTGTATTGCACACTATATTGTAACCTACAGTATTGTATATCAACTATACCTCAATACAAATAAATCATTCTTTTAAATGTGGTTGAGTGAAAACAAGCTCTTTGGTCCTGAGGCAGCCATCTTGCAAACAAGGTGGTCACAAGCCTGAGGACGCAAAGCTAACATGCCAAGGACAGCAGAGCAGAAAGAGAACAAACCTGGGTGTACGCGTGTGATGTTGTGATTGAGAACAAGAAATATGTATTCGGTCTTGGTCTTCTTTCCTGGCACAGGGCTCCTAAAACCCTTGGAAGTTCCTGTGATGAGAGCCGTAAAGGTTCTTTTGTTATGTTAATGAGGTAGCTTTGGGATCACCTAAAGATGGGGGTTGGTTACCAGGGAAACCAACCAGGAATAGAGGGCTGGAACTTTCAGTCCCACCCCACCCCACCTCCAACCCCCAATTTCCCAGGAGAGGAGAGGGGCTGGAAGTTGACTTGATCACCAATGGCCAACGATTGAATCAATCATGCCTATGTGATGAAACCTCCATAAAAACTCAAAAAGGAGGAGATTCAGAGAGCTTCCCGGTTGGTGAACCATGACACTCCACGTGCCACCATGCCAGGCTCCAAATGCCCTGGGGACAGAAGCTCCATGGTTTTTGAACCTCTCCCTGTGTATCTCTTCATCTCACTTTTGATTCATATCTTTAAATATCCTTTGTGATAAACCAGTAATCTAGTGAATAAGCTGGTTTCCTGAGTTCTGTAAACCACGCTAACAAATTAATTGAACCCAAGGAAGGAAGATGCTGTGGGAACCACTGATTTTTAGCCGTTCATCAGAAGCATGGGTAACAAGCTGAACTTGCAATTGGCATCTAAAGGGGAGCGCAGGCTTGTAGGACTGAGCCCTTAACCTGTGGGATCTGATGCTAGTTCCAGACAGATAGTGTCAGAATTGAGTTGAACTGTAGGACACCCAGCTGATGCCAGAGAATTACTTGGTGGTGTGCGGAAAAATCCACACACTGGAATTGGCACCAGAATCCTTAACTTGTCACTGGGAAACTGATGCACCAAACCTGAAACAATCTTCCTCTAGCCTTCCTGCTATGCGAGATAAGTAAGTGTCAAATTCTTCATCCACTGTAAATCGACGTTGGGGGCAATGTCCATTTTCATGTTCCACGTAGAAGGACTCCAGCTAGAGTAACACTCCATATCCCTACCCCCGCCCCGCTGCTCAGCCAGACAGTGGCTCACCCAGTGGACCCTGCAGAAGGGACTGAGCTCCCTCGGCTCAGCCTCTTTCATCTCTTGTTTGAAACCATCTGCTGCAGAGAGCTGCGCTGTTTTGCTCTCTATGATGTCGTAAGGTCAGTGGAGCAGACCCTGCCCTCACTGAGGAGGCCTGTGCTACCAACGACCAAGATGGAGTGGGAGGCAGATTTTCTAAAATGACCAGAGAAGATGCCCCACCCTAATCCCCAGAACCTGTGATATGATGAGCGATTACTCCCATGACTCTGTTATGCTATAGGGCACAGTTCACGTAAAGATAGGGAGATTGTCCGCGTGGGTCTGATCTAATCACATGAGCCCTTAAACCATAGTGCTTTCTCCAGCTGACGGGAGAGCGCAGAGGGGAAGTCATAGAGATAGAAGAAGGGTTCCATGCTGGTTTTGAAGATGGAGGCCAAGGAATGCAGGCAACCTCAAAGGTAAGAATGGCCCCCACCTGACACCCAGCAAGGAAACAGGACTCTCAGTCCTACAACCACAGGGAACTATTCTTTGCCAAGACCTGAATGAGTGTGGAAGCAGATTCTTCCCCAGATCCAGAGCCCAGCCAAGCCTGCCCAGACGTCTCACCTACACAACTATGACATAATAAACGAGTGTTGCTTTAAGCATCTACGTTTGTACGAATTTGTTGCACAGAAATAGAAAACTAATACTGCAGGGAAATTCTTCTAATTCAGGGTGAAAATGGTTAGTAAGTCCTTTTGGCATCAAAGCTAAAGCTACATTCTCTGATGAGCTTATCAGCAATGAAGCTGACCTTTTAATCTCCATCTGACTCCTGTGTCTATTTCTCAATTAGTTCTGAACTCCAGAGGGGAAAAAAGAGTTTTCATTTATTCACCCCATAAAAACCCCAACAGTCGGGTATTCAGGAATGCTTTTGGCATTTCTATATAATACAATAAGTCTCCACAATTCTTTAAAATGAGGCTCAGACCTGGAATGGTATAGAAGAAACCAAATCATATCACCTCAGAATATAGGCACCTAGATTTTATATTCTATCTTTACTCCACTAAAAATCCTCTCCTTCCTAGAGCTGAGAGAAAACACACCAGATGAATGGAAAGGCTTAATCAGTGAGCAGGTAAATAAATAAATAAACCTTCCTCGTGGGAACTAAAACTTCACAACCCCAAGCTTTGTTGGTTTGTACAATTTTCAGTTCTCAAATAATCACCTAAGGGTAACGGGCCTTTTAGATGTAGTTTAAATGAAAAGCAAAAAGCTTTGAGATTTTCCACCAAAACTGCATGCAGCAAGCAAACTGCTGCAGAATCCGTTGTTTGTAGTTTCCGGAAGTGCACCCATGTTCCTCCTGGAACTCAGACACCCCTTCCACAGCCCCCTCCAAATGTTGTGCAAACGCATACATCGTGTGCGGCCAACTCGGTAATATACTGCCGCTCCTTCCTAAAAGACTCCCAGTCTTTGATGGCACTGCAAGGACCTGAGTGGGCCATCAGCATAAAAATGAAACATGAGGGGCTTCCCTGGTGGTCCAGTGGTAAAGAATCCGCCTTGCAATTCAGGGGACACCCGTTCGATCCCTGGTCGGGGAACTAAGATCCCACATGCCACGGGGCAACTAAGCCCATGCGCCACAACTAGAGAGCCCTCGTGCCGCAAACTACAGAGCGCACGTGCTCTTGGAACCCACAGCACAACTAGAGAGAAGCCCGCACGCCACAAGGAAGAGCCCGCACACTGCAACAGAAGATCCCACGTGCCTCAACTAAGACCTGACGCAGCCAAAAATAAATTAAATAAATAAATAAATAATAAATCTTTAAAAAAAAAAAATGAAACGGGATTTTGAAGGCTCTGTCCCAGAGTCCTGTGAATGATCCATTTGAGAGGCATCTTTAAGGGGAAGAACAGTTCTCTGTACTGGCAGTCCAAAATTCATATGGGAACTAAGTCCCCAGTTTCGGTAGCAGATGTCATTAAATGATTGCAACCTCTTCCCTCATTTAGAATACAGTAACCAAATTTTATTTTTGCTAAAGGGGGATTTCAAAAGCCTGTAGTCCGATCCTTTCTTTCTACAAATAAACTCAGATCTAGAGAAGCTATATAAAAATAGAAATTCCAGATCAGTCATTTCTCCATTTGACTCCTGTTCTTCTGAGTGTTTAATCCGTCAGATTCATTTTTCTCTAAATCAGAAGCCAAGAGGCCACGGCTAAAAGGGTACCTCTGAGAAGTTCAAAACTGCTCTTGAAGACAAGGTTGCCACATCTGGTTTAGGGAGATGCGTATCTGAGAAGCACAGAAGCTGAGCACTGATGGTTTCCATGGTGACCACGGGGCCCAGGTGCATGTTCTAATGAGGCCAGCCAGCATTTTGGGGCAAAGACTGTAGAACATTCCAGGAAAACCCCCATGTCACCGAGCGACTCATGAAATTTGAATGGGTGGCTAGCCTGCCAACAAGTGCTTCTTTGAGGAGACAGACACACAGCAGCACTGAACTCTGTGTCTGGCCCTGTACCAAGCTCTTTTCCATACATTATTTCATTTAATCATCACCCAGACCTTAAATGCAAATTCCATCCCATTCTGCTGATGAGTAAACTGAGGCAGCTCACCCAAGATCACTGAGCTTACAGAAGGTGGCTCTAAGCCAGCTCTAGTGCCTTATTCCTCCACTCAACTCTACCAGAATTTCTGAAACTGGTAGCTCTCGAGGGAAGAGCTACCTTGCATTCTTCTAAAGAGAAGTTTATGTCATGATTTCTTGTCTCAGAGGGGAAAACAAGCGCAGCCTTAGAACTTACCACTGATCTATCTTTGCCCATCATTGCCAGATTCTGAAAAAGATCTCAAATTATCATTTTCAAATATGAAGTCATCATAAGAAAGAATTCCCTGAAGAAGGTTCGAAAGACTTGAGAATTATGTCAAAACTGAGAAAGAGAGCAGAAATGACCTAACACCTAAGTAAAACTAATGTTCTGTTAAACTATGTGAACAGGTGTGAGCTAAAGCGCTTTGGAAACCCCAGTCCAATCACCTCTACTCCACATGCCTGTCACTGATGCCAGGAATGCCATCTGTAGAAAATAAATTCCTTGAGTTGAGATTTTTGTCCCTTGTTTAAAGGTGAGTATTCTCAAGAGGAAAAACCTAATTAAGGCAATAGCAATCATCAACACCTTAGTATGAATTAGTATGTTAGTGTACTACTGCTGATGGAGCGCTCAGCAGTGGGAGGAGCGGCGGGGGGGCCATGAAGAGACAGATACATAGCACAAAGCAATGTCTAGAAAATGCAGGCTTCTGGAAGAGGTCTTAGAAGCCAGGATCAGCCTGAAGATGCTGTGCTTGGAAATAAAGTGAAGGAGCTCCAATAACAAAATGGATGGATTTATAATTCTCTACTTTATTGCCAACACACTAAGGAACCCATCTTCCACCTTTCATAAGAAATTGCGTATGCCTCACCTCTTCAGAAAATCTGTATTGGCAAATCTATACTTAACCCTCTTGTGTTGTGATTCCAGGAAGACCGACAAGAGACAAGAGTTTAGGCACAGTACCTGTGACTACCATGGGCCAAAAATAAAAATATGACCATAACATTGAACTATTCCATTAAAAGTGATAATGAAACAAGAACACCCTGGTAATTCCTTCTGGATCCTGTCAGGCTAAAGCCAACTGGATCACAGAGGTTAGGGTTTAAATAGATGGCAGTACTCACTCGAAAGACCTTCTCCACTCTTGCAATGCTCTTCCCAAAAATGGTTCCAAGTTGGTCTCCAATTCCAGCCAATAAGAAACCAAAAAGTGGAATTCCAAAGATGGCATATAAAATGCAAAAGATTTTGCCTCCTTCAGTGCTTGGAGCAATATTCCCATACCCTGGTGAGAAATATTAAAAAGAGAGAGGGAGAATGGTGAGGCGCCAGAGAAATTACAGCACTGAATGAAAGAATCCGGACTTCTTAAAGGGTTTCTCCATTCCCCCCCACCCCTCCACTTCATGAGTTTTAGGAGCAGAACTTCATTTCCAAGGCCCTATAAAATTCAGAACATTGTTCCATTGCTTCTCTTCCTTCTCTCCCTGTAAATACTTTCAAAAGGATCAAGGTTTCCAGGATCTTATTGTGTTTCATTAGATGACATTTTAGGAAATCTATGATCACCCAGAATTGCATTTCTGACAGGAAATGGTACAACCCATTTCAGAAACATCAAATATCTAGGATGTGTCTGGTTTAGGGATGCTGAACACCTGAGAAGGGTTCAGCATTGCCTTTCTTAGATTTAAAAACAGTTTCTCCCGTACAGCCTCATCCCATGGCCACATCCCCTCCACCTGACAGACTGTGGTTGTCTCCAGCATTTGCATTCTTAGGGTGATGGGTGCTCCACATTAAGGAGGATGTGTGGTCTAGTCCAAATTCAGAAAGGACCCAAGGATCGTACAGCCCTACCCTGGGAAAACAGTAAAGAGTGGAGAAGGGAAGACTTTGTGCTCTTACGCACACTGACAGTGATGGTTAGCTCTGCCCGGATCTCTTTTTCTCTTTCCTGGGAACTCCGTATCAACTGAGCCCTGCCTCTCCTCCCACCAACTTCCTTTTTCTTTTTTTTTTTTAACAACTTTATTGGAGTATAATTGCTTTACAATGGTGTGTTAGTTTCTGCTTTATAACAAAGTGAATCAGTTATACATATACATATATCCACATATCTCCTCCCTCTTGCGTCTCCCTCCCTCCCACCCTCCCTATCCCACCCCTCTAGGTGGTCACAAACCACCGAGCTGATCTCCCTGTGCTATGCGGCTGCTTCCCACTAGCTATCTATTTTACGTTTGGTAGTGTATATATGTCCATGCCACTCTCTCACTTTGTCCCAGCTTACTCTTCCCCCTCCTTATATCCTCAAGTCCATTCTCTAGTAGGTCTGCGTCTTTATTCCCGTCTTACCCCTAGGTTCTTCATGACCATTTTTTTTTTTTTTAGATTCCATATATGTGCGTTAGCATATGGTATTTGTTTTTCTCTTTCTGACTTACTTCACTCTGTATGACAGACTCTAGGTCCATCCACCTCACTACAAATAACTCAATTTCTTTTCTTTTTATGGCTGAGTAATATTCCATTGTATATATGTGCCACACCTTCTTTATCCATTCATCTGTCTATGGACACTTAGGTCGCTTCCATGTCCTGGCTATTGTAAATAGAGCCGCAATGAACATTGTGGTACATGACTCTTTGAATTATGGTTCTCTCAGGGTATATGCCCAGGAGTGGGATTGCTGGGTCGTATGGTAGTTCCATTTTTAGTTTTTTAAGGAACCTCCACACTGTTCTCCATAGTGGCTGTATCAATTTACATTCCCACCAACAGAGCAAGAGGGTTCCGTTTTCTCCACACCCTCTCCAGCATTTATTGTTTGTAGATTTTTTGATGATGGCCATCCTGACCAGTGTAAGATGATATCCCACCCACTTCTTGCACCAAGGATTATCAGGTGCTAAATAAATGTTTGTTGGTGGAATGGATGTTTAAATACAAAAGAATCCTATTATAGCCAGGTCTATTCATATGTTATGTCAAATAGTGCTTTGAAAACACCAACACCTGCATTCTCAAGAGTTCTGCAATTACGTAAGTAACTCACATCTAGTGAGTATTCGGCTTACTCTGTATGACGGGACTGAAGAAAGTGGTGCTGGAAGAAAAAGGCTTATAGCATTAGCACAAATTATACAGAGATGAGACTCTAAATTACTTGTTACTCACTTTCATGCCAATGAATCTTGCAACATTATGCTAACTAATGTCTAGATAGTCACCTAACTATTCTCCCATATAGGGCAACTCCTGTGGAGCCTATTTCTAAATCCATGCAAGAAGTGAGTTATTGGGCTCATGGCTTACTGGCATTTGGGGGATGCAACAGAGTAAAGATAATGTTTATGGTTGGTCCATCATTCATCCTCTTATAAGCCCGGAGAACTCACTGTTGCTTTCTGCCTTTAGGTGATGAGTCACCTGGTTATTTTCCCTTTCAATTTTCCAGTCACAATCATTCAAACCTCTTATCACAAATCATCTAAATTATAGCTTCTATTTCTTAAATGACTGTTCAGGCAAGCCTTCCTAATCTTGCATTTCTTTTACTCACCAAGATTTTTGATTTAATTGTGCAAAAAAAACCAAAAAAAAACAAAGGCTCTCAGAACTTTTCTCAGGTGTTTTCAGGAACTTGGACAAAATCATTTTGTAAGCATTTCCCTCTAGAATAATCCAATTTACATTAAGATAGCCCTATTAAAAAAGGAATAAATGTGCCTATACAGCTCCACTTTATGCAGAGTTATGGTGACTCTTGGAAATATTCTGGTGATTTGTGGAAACATTTATCACTCTTGCTTGACTGTTTCATAATTGCCTGATTACTGTCAAGGAATATAGGTTTTCTTTTAGTCTGAATATCTCAGAAAGAAGCACATCGCAGACACAGGCAGACAAACTGAGGCTTTGCACCTGCTTAATAGGCCTCTTATTAGCCCTAACAGGGGCTGCACCCCTTCCTCCAGCTTTTAGAGAGGATCTGTCCCACCACTTGGGTAAGGACTGTGCTCTGGGGACATTCCAGTGTCATCTTAGGAGCATGAGAGAAAAGTGGGAAGATGAGGCTCATATCTGATACCACCTCCTTCTACCTGGTTGGCCTTAAGCTCGCTTCACCTCCCCAATCCTAGTATTAGAGGGGTTCAAGGACAATGTGGGGAAAATCAGTGAACTGTACAGTGCTATACCAATGCAAAGTGTTAGTAGTAGTATTACAATCAGCTCCTTACTTGTTCAGTGTTTCGCAGACTAGACACTAAAATAAAATTAGAGCAAAGTTCTTGGGCACTAGTGAAGTAATATCCAAATTGTAACAGGGAAGAGCCAATCTGACTACATGTTGGATCTGTTTCTTTTACTTTAACCTTTGCTTCCTGTTGCTTTTGTTCACTAAAAGGATAGTGTCTGTACACAATGGCCTGCCTCAGGGAACCCTGCCCCTCTGCCTGAATGTTAAACCCAAGTGCCTTTGTTCAGGGAAACATCCAGACCCTGTCCACCTGTGGATGGCTGCCAGAAAGAAGAAATTAAAACATCCCCACCCTGAGGCTGGCCATTTCAGGGAACATTTGCAAGTCTTATAGCCTTTTTACTTTACTTCCTCATCCCCTCCCCCTCTCTGTTCTATAAAAGAAACTGGCATCCAAACCCCGATAAGATGGTTTATTGGAGACACTAGTCTGCCACCTTCTCGGTCTGCCTTTCTGAACAAAGTCAAAGTCGTTATTCCTTGCCTCAACACCTCATCTCTGATTTATTGGCCTGTCCTGTGGCAAGCAGAGCGAGCTTGGACTTGGTAACAAAATCAGTCTTTAAATATATTTCAGGCCATCACCTCACATCGGACATAAAATAATTGCTGTTCTTGAGTAATGCTGTATTATGTGTGTGTGTGTGTGTGTGTGTGTGTGTGTGCGCGCGCGCGCGCGTGTGTGTGTGTGTGTATCTGTGTCCCCTGCCTCTGATGAACTATATGGAAAGACGGTTCTCCAGGTTGACCCTCAACCCTGTTACTCTGAGAAATTTCCAGAAGCTACATTTTAGAGCTTTGCTCTAAACAGGAGGCAACAAGAGGGCCACATTCCTGGATTTTTGCCTCTGTTTGTACTGGGCCTGCTAGACTTCCCTGCCCATCCTTCCAGAAGGCTTGATAGAACTTTGAAGTAAGGTATAACAGTGGCTCTAGAACTCGAGACTGCGGGGATTCCTGTTCTGATTCTTCCACTTACCAACTCTCAGATCTTGGGCAATTTACCTTTCTGCCTTGCTTTCCGTGACTGAATGATGGAGCTATTAATAGCACCTACCTTATAGCTTAAAGAGTTACATGTGAAGCATGAGTAACCTGTGGAGATTAAATACATGTGAAGCATGATGCAAAGAATAAGCCCTCAGTAAGGATCCACAATTATCATCTTGCCCCAGGTTTTCTGTGGGAAGGAATCGTTTCTAAGCTATGTGTCTCCAGGAAAACTAAGCCCCAGAAGTAAACAGGGTTGGTTCCTATTTTCCCTCCGGAAACTCCACTGTTCTCCTATAGCACCAGGACAAAGGACAAAATGCCTGTGCCCCAGGCTGGGCTGACTCAATGGCTTGGGTGGGCCCACAGCTGGATTTGGGGTGTGGGTATCGATGGGGCAGCAAAGGCTGGGAAGTGAGAGGCAGATGGTCAGGAAGAACTAGCCCAGGACATTAGAACTGGATTTCATAAAGCAGAAGAAGTTCCAGGAGCTCCTCCACCAACTGGCTTCTGGTGACTTTTGGCAGGAGATGACCAGCCCAGAGAGAACATTCTGTTGTGAACGAGAAGGACCAAGGTAGTGCTTAGCTCTGGTCACCCCTAGCTAGAAAACAGCCCAAGCCCTTTCCAAAGACAAAGCTGGTGTTTCAAGAGGACTCAGGCCTGAGTGGTGCACATGAAACTCTTCCATTTGCTGTTTACATGCCGAAGTCAAATCTTGGGCAAACCACGTGCTATCCAGCTCTGGTATTTGGTTTAGAGTACATGTTCTCAAAACCTACTGCCTGTGCATTTATGGGCGTGTGGCCTGTGCAGTCACACAGAGCCCCACACTAAGAAGGGCCCCACGCTTGGTTTAATGCTCTGCCCTTGCCGTTTTGTCCTTCTTAATCTTTTTCTTTTAGCAAAAGACTGAATTTTCATTTTGCACTGGGCCTTATGCCTTACGTAGCTGGTCCTGGTGAATAAAGCTAGACTCCACGGCTTACCGACCTTGAGATACTGAACAAGCTACTTGACATCCCTGGGT